TAATGAGTAGGAAATTGGCGGAGACGACACGCTGGGCAGGCACAAGCGCTTTTTACAAACATGATTGAATAGGCGTGCTTCATCAGACGCAATGATGTACGCAGAGCATGAAGTTTTGTGCAAGTGATTAGAAGTTTATAAATTAAAAACTCATGACTGAAAGAGAGCCACCGCTGCTGCTGGGTCCTAATGCGAAAATATTAACCATCGACTGCTCAGCTCGTACAAAACTGTATCCTGTCTTAACTGGATAAACTGATGGCTCAATTTTCCTTCAATCCACCATATTTTTGTTTTTACTCACTAAAGTATGAAGTCATTGTTATCATCACATACTGTACATAGATAGATAGACAGATTCTTTTAGAAGTCATACTGAAATTGGCAGAATAAACAGATAATATGTTCTAAACAAATAGACTACAGGTGTGCATCGAACACGAATCCTGCAGGACGCAACAAAAAATTTACGCAAGTACGTGGTTTTTACTTCCACGCAAGCACCAGCGAGTGGGCAGATATGAAGCGCGCAGGACAAACAAAGACCACGTTCATTAACATTAACACGCTCGATGCACTAACAATGTTCATTCATTTAAAATATGCTACTAATTTGTTTATATTTTGGGAATGAAATTCGTTATTTAATTATCACAGGCAGGTGCAAACCAAAATAATAACTGTGTGAGTGGGATTAAAAAAACTTCAAGCTTCCAGTTGAGACCAATATGAATTGGAGCGATGTAGCTGAGGTTGAGGAACAGTCAGAATCAGCAGAATCAGAATTCACTCACCATGCTGATAGTGCTGCCATTTCTATTTCTGGTTTAGGATATTTGGAGCACTGAACGGATACAGATACAGATAGTGGTACTGCTTTACTCCCATAATATGTAAAAAAAAATTTTTAAATACCAAGTTTTTTATGGTCATTAACAGGAACACATGCAATAAAAGCATGGAATAATAAGGTTTAGGAAAGTGGTCAGTTACTTGGTTAACGCCTTACAGTGTGGAAAATAAAATAAAGGACTGACAATCTTAGTATCTTGAGTCTTACATTAACAACAGAATAACAAAAGTATTTTCCAAAGCATTTTCTTGCACAAAAAAAGTCTGTGAATATGGTGTTTGCACAACTTATATAATAATATATATATAAAAAATCACATCATGTCTAACACATGATGTTAACTATTGTCATCTCTTAATGAATAGCTTCTATACTGACTCAAATATAGTGCAGTCATTTCTTTCCATAATTATGTTAATTACATGCTTCCAATATGTAAAAAGCATTCATTTGTCAAAGGGGAGAATGAATGACAGGAAGGAATGTAAAGTCAGGATTTAAGCATAAAGTCTATAAAGGTCTATAATTTTCCACGACTGACTGCAGAATAAATAGTACAGTTTTGCTTTTTATCTGAAAGACATGTGACGATCATTTCTGAGAATCTCTGACCCATCATTCTGACATTGCCTGAACACATGATTATTCATTCCAGAAAATAATACAGATTCACTTGTTTTCAAGGGTGGTTGGTATATAGCAGACTAATCCCCACGGTCTTTCAAAGATTAAAAAAAAAGATAACTATAGTTTTAATTTGGCATCTACACCAGATCTTTTGCTGTTAACAAATGACATAAGGCAGGTTATTTTGAATTTTTGTGAAATCAAGAACACTAGCACCACCAATGTTCATTAAAAAAAAATACACAGACAATACACGGTATTAAGAAGGCTGTGGCTGATTTCCTTCTAGCCCACACTGTAGATGGATGCATCCTATCAGTGATTGTGTAATCCCCTAGCATGACCGAGTGAAACATCCCTTAGATTTGGGGGTATTTTTAACTGATGCCTCCATAACATACCATCAAGAGCGATTAAGAAGGTACTTTTTTCCCACAATATGCCTCAGAGTAGACAGACTAAGCACACGATGTCCAAGTAAAGTACAAATTACACAAAAGGACAAATGATAGGACCTTGAGTTTTGTGTTTTCTGGTTTGAATGAAAGAGTTACAACATTTTCTGTTTACCATGTTCGAAGGAAACACGACATGAACCCACAGAGCGTTATGAAATACTTGAAATAACCAAAAAAACATTAAGCGTGAGTGTGATAGTTTGCCCCACTTCGATGAGATCTTATGATATAATTCAATCCTTGATAGATATTAACTACTGATTTTAGATATTAGCCATCACTGCTTTTATTATTAAAATGGTGTTCTTTGGGTTAATATAATTGAACAAATTTGTGTTAATTTCTCATATTGAATGAAACAATAGTGAGCCTAGGCTCTTGAACCGTTCTGTAACTAAATATAAAATATTTTTAAATAAAATGATCAGTTCAATACTGAATTATTCAGTATAATTCACTGCTAATATACGTGATATGCACACAGTGATACAGATAGATTGAAAAGGCCCGATTGGTGCAAAAGCATCAACTATATCATCCGTCTATTAAAAAAAAAAAAAAAAAAAAAAAAAAAA